AATATAATTTAGACATAGTTAGAAAATTGCCTAATTAGTAAATTGGGGCTTTCTCGAGGTATGAACAACTGAATTGTAGTACTGGTTAATACTTTACAATGTACCCATGATTTCATTTGTTCATACTCCTATAGGAAGTACTGAATATAGTCATGTTTAATGTTATTGTTGTTGTGTATATAGAGTTTAGGAGGACCAGATTGGAAAAAAGTTGTAACTTTATCTGTTTATCCTCAATAAATAAAGTGTTATTATTATTAACTCTAATTGCTATTCGAACTCAGATACCTAGTCATGGATAATAAAGTCCATGCATACATAATTTCCATTCCCTGATCCTACAGAGACTACAAATCTTTTCTTTGATAACTGTATTAAGGTTGTAAAAGGATTGGACAATTTCTTGTTTAAACTTGTCATTTTGCGAGCTGTGAAAGATCATAGTGGAAATGTCTGGAGAAGAAAACCAACTGATATGTATGTTGTTGAAATTACAACAGACAAGTCGTTTGAAACATTAACAACCGAGGATGCTGTATTAGATGGGAGCTATAATCAGGTAAGCATTCACTGGATGGTCTTAAATGTATCCACTTTTTCAAGGCAAAATCTTTGACGTTTCCAGTTCCCACAGCCAAACAATTGACTGGCGTAGTAAATGTGTATTGTAGGCCTATAAGCGCATAAGAATACTCAAATTGAAAATTTCATTCAGTGTTTAACTTTTTATAATAGAATTGAGAATAGGTTTTTTATACGAAAACCAATCCTGAAAAAATCCAAAGAAATTTATCGATATTACCACATACAGAAAATGGTTATGGAAAACCAATCCTAGAGAAATTGAAACAAATAACTAATTTGAGCGCTTACAAAAATTGATTTGGATCTGTCCAAAATCAATCCTAGAGAAATTGAAACAAAATAAATTGTTTGAAGCATCCAAATTATTATTTTTAATTGGTTTTGCATTATAGAAATGGATTTGGATGTGTCCAAAAGCAACTGCTGATATATTCAAACAATATAACTCATTTGAGCGCTTACAAATGATGCGAAAAACAATCCTTCAGAAATTCCGACAAATAACTCATTTGACTCATTATAGAAAGGGATTTGGATGCATCCAAAATCAATCAGATTGGATTTATCCAAACCAACAATTAATATGTTTGCAAAATATCTCTAATTGATCGACAGTATAGAAATGTGGTCTCGACATACTTGACAACTACTTTGAAAAATGACCTATTTAGTGTCTTTCAATGCTGGCTTGGATTTATTCAAACGAACTTTTAATATACTTACAAAATGTTCCTAATTTATCATTAAAACAATAAATATTACTATTATTAAATAATATTATTATATTTGTTAAAACAATTGATATGTTTGCAAAATATCCCTAATTTCGCAACAGTGCATGTAGAAATATGTCGTGACATATCGGTGACAACTGCTTTGAAAAATGACCTATTTAGTGTCTTTCAATATTGGCTTGGATTTGTCGAAACCAACTTTTATATATGCTTTCAGAATACCCACTGAATCTATTACACTTATAAAGGTATTGATAATATTGATCTTAATTTTTCAAGGGACGTCTTTTTGCAAAATTACACCAACATGTTAACGTTTAGCAGGCAAGATTGTGAGATTTTACATTTGTGGACATTTTTGCCGCATGAGATATATTTGTCCATTTTTCCAATCAATAGAATATCACACTTAGCTCTGGAACGTGTTATCTTAGCTAAACTCAAACAAATTAGCTGATATACAACATATGCATATATACAACCCCCTATAAATAATCCTGGTTTCTAAAATTTATATTTCTAAAAAATATTCTTGAAATGTACTTCTCAGTATTTCAAAGTATTAACGTTAACACACGTAATAATAATAAAGTAATATAAAATTGCATTCCCTGAATACGTTGTTACTATTTTTGCAGAGTACGAGAAAACGATTAGCAACAAACAAGTACTCGTTTGTAAAATTTCTTCCTCGAATACATTGCCTAACACCCAGAGAAACTTTGGACAACATACAGCAGAACAGGAAAGGTAAATTTTTTAAGAGAAATTAGCATTACCAGAAATTTGGAACATTTGCCCTGTCGTTCAAAATCCGCGTTAATTACATAATAATTGATTCGCAAAATGACTTTTAACATTGATGGCAAATGGTCATGTTATGCAAATTTTTAAATTATTGTATTATTCAAAACCTATACAGGGCGTCCCAAAAACCAAACTATTGAAATAACGTATTGTTAGAATTTGAATGCCTGAGCACTAAGCCTAACGCAAAGGTGCGTAAAATGAGTCAAGCTTTTATGCACTTGTGGGTTCAGCAGAGTGCTGAGGTATTCAAATTCTAACAATACGTTATTTCAATAGTTTGGGTTTTTGTGACACCCTGTAGAAATCCATTGTATAGGTTACGTCGAATTAGTTCAAAGACAATGGATTTCTATAGGTTTTAATATAAATCCAATAATTTTAAAATTTGCATAGCATGCATGACCAGTTGCTACGGTTATCTTTGGCACTGCACCCTTCGACCACAGTATAGGGAGACAACCAGTAGGGCCACCTACGGAAGAGAAAAGTGGCAATTATTTAAGCTAGGTTCCAGGTGTCTTACGCGGCCAAAATCATTATTCTGTAGTACAATTTTATAGTGGACTGCTGCCGTTTACTGGCTGCCAATATGTAAACTAGGTTGGCAGCCAGTAAACAATGTAAACACTTTTTTATGCTGAGTGGCCCTACTGTACTTTTCCTATACTGTGCTTCGACTGCCCAAAAAGCAAGAAAAGATTAACATTGAAGTACTTTTGGAACCGATTTGTTGTAAACAAGTCTATAAGATATTGTGGGTTCTCTGGAAAGGTTGAACCCTCCTGAATACAGCACGAACTGCGATCCTTGCATCGTGCAAATAGTTGTTAGTCAAATCCAGCAATTTCTGGCGCAACTTTTAGGAGGTTACTATAGCCACTCAACATAGTATAATACTATATACTCACTCTCCAACTTTTAAAGACTCCACTCACGCTAGCTCTAGTGTGCGCCGGCCTTAAGAAATACCAATATGGCGGATAGGTGGCTAAGAAGGTTAGAATTAGTGGACAATATCCCAACCGAAATAAGAGGAGAATTTATCATTTTGATCTTGAAAACTATGCCGAGGAGCAATTCCGGTTCTGGTTAACGAAGGATGGGTTTTGTACTGTCTGCTCCTAGACATACTCAGGCCAAATATATCTGCATATAATGATCGAGGAAGACCTATTCCAACCGATGTACGATTTTTGTAGATTGTACAATTTTATGCCACATTTTACATACATCAGCAAGTAGAATTATTAATTAAGCATGTATCTGAGGCAATTACACGTTTAAATAACGAGTGCATTGTTTTCCCTCCAGCTCATTTGCTGCCAGCATCCCAACTAGATTATATATTTTGGAATGACTTTGCTGTTTTTAATAACATACGACATATAACCAACTTACAACAGCTAATTATGGCCTCACAATTAACTAATTACCATTTGGCTTCGGGTGTTGTTCTTCGGTTTTTCTCGTGGCATTTGTCATATTCTTCCAGTATTCAAACTCCGCATCTAACACCTCCATTTTCTTTTGTGTTCATTCAATTGGTTCATAGTGCTTACAATATGCTTATTTTAAAATTACTTCGCCAATGAACTCATCATATGGTAGTTTTTTTAAGCCATTTAAAACACTTGCAATCCGTACTTTATCAGATATAAAACACCCGACCTGTGTTCTCGTGTTTTATATCTGTTCAAGCTCTCCTGTTCATATTTTAAATAGTATAAATATTACCTTAAATTAAAGGGACTGTTACACAAATGTTAATATATTAAATGGGGAAAACATGGAGAGCAGTAGGCATGCAGTTTGGAATGCACAATGAGTTATGGAATTGCGAATATATATGATATTTATGCCATCCTGAAATATTTTAATTTTAAACAGAAATGAAGTAAAATGATTAGTATAAAGGTAAAGTTCATGAAGTTCGATGTCGAAATCCGACCTCAGGCAGTCCTTCGTTTGCGTTTAGGCACTGTGATAAGTTTAATAATTCAACTTTTCTTTGCAGGAGATACAGAATTCGACATGGAAAAGTTCCACAGTGAAGAATACCAACGACCGTTTCAGTATCTATCGCAATTCGCAAACGGCTCAAACTTAGACACATTTTCGTTTATATACGAACCTTGTGTCTTGGGTATTGGTGACCCAGTCGATGCTTTGAAGATTATAATCAAGTAAGAGTAATTTAAGAGTTAGGATAACATATAAGCATAAACATGATAATGAAATTGGAAATTAGTCCGTTCAGTTGTTGTCGTACATGAAGCCGCAAATGATTTGGAATCACTTAATGTTGTACTTTAAAATTGATTATTTGTTTAAATAGTTTCGTTTGTCTCGAATAGATGGGGTATATATATTTAGTAATTTGTTCTACAGTTTTAGGACTAGTATTCAAAAAGCACCACAATCTTGTGCTATTTTCAAAGTTAGATTGATAAAATAACTGCTAAATTAGTGCTTTGTGCAACCAAAGGAGGTTTGATTCTGTACATACTGCAGTACTCGAAAAGGTGTTTTTTGTACATTTGTATTTGACAAATGACCACTTTTGACAAATACTGAAGGATAAGTAGTATATTAACTAGTTTTAATTTTTCTCAGGATAAATTTTCTATACGGTGAATTAATTACTATACCATAAACAAGCGCAGGCAATACTCGATGTGTGTAATAGTAATATTGGTGTATGTTAATGCATCAGATCTCATTTACAATCTGCCAAAACGTGTTTTAGATATTGTGGAATCCGTGATCCATCTTGGGCAGAACTTTATCATTTTGTGAACTTTTTGAACATCCAATTGCGTGACTGTGAAGAAAGCCTTTTTTGTGACCCGCTATTGGTTGGTGATCTCTTGCAAGGCTTTAGGACATTTGCAGTTCGTTTTATGATTCAGATGTCTCGTGTAAGTTTCTCATTTAATAAAAACAACAACAACAACAATAATAATAGCAGTAACAACAACAACAATAATATAATCTTTAAAATCATGACATGATATCCATATGGGTTTTTTTTGAGATTTTACTTGATTATTAGGCTGCTCGCAGCCCGAATTTATTTAGGGATTTAATTTCGTGCTGCGAGTAGGCTACTTGATTATTTCCCTTCAACTTATTTGAATAATAATATTGTTGAAAATTTTTCGATATGTATTTGTCAAATGTATTTCACATACATTTTTATGAAATCTTATTTAATGTTTAAAAGTACTGTCCAATTGAATATTTAAGAACTTGGTTATTTTGGTTCCAACATATAGCCTTACTTTAGCATCTCATTTTTGATGGCCATATACCAGACCAGATGCATATACAAGTTGTATTCAGCGCAGTTTAGTACACTAGTATGATGACTGAAAAGCAAGCTGTTAAAGGGCAAACTTTTACCCAAATGTGTATAGATTCATTTTATGTCAACAGATAAGACCTTAACCAGGCTTTAAAACGTAATATCATTTTTGTCAATTTACTCGAATCTGATTGGTTAAAAACTGTGCCGTTTAAACATTAAACTCGCAGTTGTGGCGATCAAGATTGATCGGCGCGAATAGGAGTCCGCGTGAATTTTGCACGCCCATGTGAGTTCAGAAATGCAAAGACAAAAGTTAAATAAAGAACGTGAAAATGTATATATTATGTGAGCTCTTTTTATACACTGAGCTCTTATTAAAGAAGACCAAGTTGAAATAAAAATTCACAGTTTTTACGGGTATGAATTGAAAACTAATGTCAGAAAGTACTCTTATGGAACGTACTCTGCTGTGCTCACTTGAATACATTTTTTTTTAAGTACGAGGTTTCTTGTTTTTGAGTGCTCACGTAAATCTGACCAAAATGATATTAACAGGAAATTACACTTGTGCAGTTGTTCTCGAAGTATTAGATTTTTCATTAATACTTTTCGAACCGTGAAATTTCCTTTACAAATTGCGTGTATTACATTCCCATTAACATTTGACAAAATGTTGACGTCAGCAGTAATATTTAAATATCTGTAACTCAAGGGAACGACTTAAAAATTTTGGTGGAGATAAGTTGTAACGAAATTGTTGTAGTAACGTGATGACATCATATTGTAATGGGTCTATTAGTAATCTTCTACCAGCAAGCATGTACCCAGATTTAAAACATTTTGTTTGTAGTGCATGATGTTCTCTTTGACGACATTTGAATTTACAAATAACGAAGTGAACTAGTAGATAATAAAGTAATGAACAACTTACTAACCACGGACATGATAAGAAATATCAAATTTAGTTCTCTTTGCTCCTTGTCCTTATATTGTTGTCTTGCTTGGACTACTGCGAAATGTTCCACCAGTTCCATTTTTTTCATTTTGGTCTTTAAAATTTGTCTTTGTCAAACATCAAAGTGTTCCCTTAAGTTCAGCTGTTCTTGCCCTTTCGGCTTTAGCTTGCGCAGAAGGAACAGAACTGTATTTGCCGAATTCGACTTGTTCGAGTTTGACTGCACAAACTTGTTTGTTGGTTTGGTATTTTTCGTCATGGCCTCACTAATAGTTTATAAATAGTCAATATTGTGATCCAATATAATATTTTAGAATATATTATAGATAGTGTTCTCGCCTTGTAGGATTTTGCCACTAGATCACTGAGTGAAAATAACTTGGGTGTTGAAGATGCTTCTAGACAAGAAGAAGAAGATGATTTAGTTCCATTTCAAATACGAAGACGCTGGGAATTAAGGTGCATAAAATAAGAAACTCTGTTGCAAATGTACACAGTCCACATTACCTTATTATTTATCAAGAAATTAGGAAAGATGCTTTCGTATTTTAGGTTTAAAACCCGATCAAATGTTCGATGCAGTAAATGCATGTGAAACTTTGCTAAAAAAAATGAGTAAATTTGCTTCAAACACTCATTAATAATTCATAAGCTTATTGGCAAATAATGTCAACCATAATCTGGTACGTGAAGAGGCTTTATACCTGATAAAACTCGTCTTCATTAGTATTCTTTATATAAAGAATACTAATGAGACGGCATCTATTGTAGTCGTGTATAAGTACTATTTAAAAAACGAGCAGGAGTGTTTCATTCGGTTTAAAGCCACGAGCGCGCAGCGCAAGTGGCTTTAGACCTAATAAAACACGACCTGCGAGTTTTTTAAATGGCTTCGAAAACGTTTCCATAATAAGTCAAATCTTTATATAAAAATCTTTATATAAAAATCTTTATATAAAAATCTTTATATAGTTTGCATAACAATGGTCTTTTGTTAAAGTGTTCTTTAGCTGGTATAAAGACGTATGCACGTGACTAATTTCTTACTCAAGATTGGATAATTGCTTCATGAATTATTAATGCCGGAGTTTTTGAAAGCTATTCAAAACACTTGTAGTCGTGTTTTATCATATCTAAAATGCTCGTGCTGCGCATACGCATTTTAAATAGGATAAAACACTCTTATATGCGTGTTTTATTTATAAACTGTTGGTGCATTAGTGTACTTGAGTTTGAGTCAAAATACTATGAATTGATTTAAATCAAGTGAAGAATGCCAAGCAGCGCTTTTCCTACCATAAATTTCTTGTTTCAAAGAACACAATGTAAAAAATAAATGTTGGTACCGGTGGGATATCAATGATATTTATAATAGTTATGCTAAGCACGTGATTTCTAGTAGGTTAATTAGTATATTTCTACACTTATTTTATAAATAATTTCGCTAAAAATTGCAATTGAATTCACTGTTAAAAATTTCTCGTTGAATAAACATCCATTCAGCGACCATACTTTCCCTTCATTTCGTAGTCATGCATGGTATAGACCCATTGCACTGACGTCACAAATCCTTATAGTGTCCTCCAGATGCTCCCTAACAATATCTGTTCGGGTACAACAACCACATACAGCGCAAAAATTAACCATTTTAATACGAAATTATTATGAAGTTTTACAAAATTTGCTTTGTTTACAAAAGTTATATTATGCATAGATTGCTAATTTGTCCTCCAGATGCATCATCATCGGCGCTGTTACGTCATGTGCAATGGGTCTATTACAATTTTTATTACAATAACTTACTGCGATGACCTATTGGAGTATTTATAACAAATATATTATTACCATGGATGCTTCAGTTTTATATACAATTTTCTTCATCGTAATAATCTAATCGCAGTTTTTGAAACTTTCGTGAGGATCTCCAAAACTTATAATTGCATGTTTTTCTTACAGCCCCCATCCTTACATATTTTTCAACCACGACCGTGACAGCATGACTTTTCTGGGATTTTTGCTCAGCGAGAACGGTGATTTGCTTGATCCTGGAACGAACACAATTTTAGAAGAAAGGTTGATGGAGCCTAGTTTAAGAGGACAACTTAAACATCAAGGCGTCGATTTTGATGTAAACTACGAGAAACGTGACAGGTTTGTATTAATATGACATATACACTTTTTGTTTTCTATTTCATTCATGTAAGAAGAAAATGTAACGATAAACATTTTCCTTTCATTAAAGGATGGCACGTATTGAGAACTTATGCAGTGTCATGGGAATTAACTATTTGCATGATCCAGATTCCACATACGAACTCACCACAGATAATGTTGAAAAAATCTTGGCAATTCACATGCGATTCAGGTTACTTTTTATTTATTTTGTATGGCTAATCATGTGATAATTGATGGTTAATGTTTGATAATTAACAAATATAAAACATTTTCCGTGTTGATATACAGTTATATCAACACGAGTGGAAATTGGGAAAACGAGAAATTGTGTGGAAACACGACGCCCGAAGGGCGGAATGTTTTCACACAATTTCGAGTTTCCCAATTTCCACGAGTGTTGATATAACTATATATCAATACGGAAAAAATGTTTTATATTTGTTTTATAATATAGCACAAAGAAACATAAAGAAAGAAATTTTCCGACGTTTCCGTGTTGACATTGAGTTATATCAACACGGCTCTTAGCCAATTGGCGTTCAGAATTTACAAATGCTATATTATTATAATTGAAAATTAAACATTGATGTATCAATCAAAATTTTCTATCCACCAAGGAATATTTTAACTACTCACTTCAATGACATTTTGTGTAATTTACTTTCATTAAGTAGATAAACTACAGTAGTTGCATTTACAACTCGACGTTTAGACCTGATCATGTGCCTCATTTCCAAGCAACCTTTTGATCATAAAGATTGTTTGTGCTTATCCATGCTATTGTGGTCTGCCTAAACAAATTCTAATATAGCTGTACTATATTTGGTAAAGAATATGAAGATGTGACTTTATTAACTGGAAAGAATAGATTAATTTTGTTTTCTATAGCTACTTATCTAATGTGCTCTGAGGACATTACGGAGATATGTACTCGATATAATTATCATGCATATACCATATACATTTTCGACATTACTCGAATAGCTTGTTTAAAAATTCTTCATTGAAGCAAAGGGTTTCTTTCTTTCAAAAAGGTGTGGCATACCAGTAATTATCATGGGGGAGACAGGATGTGGCAAGACTCGTCTTATTAGATTCATGTGTGAACTTCAAGCTGGACCTGATGGACCGAAAAATTTGCTACTAATGAAGGTTTGACTAGTTTTGCGTACTTTTCTAAGCACCTTAGTTCTTACTAAATTCACAAACTTGGAATTGTATTCAATTTGAATTTCAATTCTTGCAATACTGTTCTTGGGACTAATCGGTAGTCGATAGTCATAAATAATTTGGAGTCCCATAAGTTTTTCGCCATAGTTGGAATTTAAAAGTTATATTTAATTATGTCATTTTGCTGTAGTAAAAAAATCAGTAGTGATAACGAATACGTTTCTGATACCTGAAATCTTAAGCAACTGAATGGTGGGACAGTGATTTTATTTAATTAAATTTCGTTGGATATTTTGTCTGGATTTATAGGGTCTTATAAAATTATTCAGACAAAAGAAGTGCTAGCTCTGTTAATGTTTTTATTTTCGTTCTTTTGCTATCATTTTTCTGTTTGAAAATTTTTAACCAGTTTAAATATTAAAAAGAAATTTCTAACATGTAAACAATTGTTGCTTGTGTGATGTTACTCTGAGTGTATAACATCGCACAAGCATCTTATTCACGTGAGTACATTACACCAATACAGCAAATATCATGTAAACAATTGCTGGTAACTATTTCACTGTGGGTTTTTACCGGTTAATGCTATAAAAATCGAATAAACTTGCTGTTTTCTCTTTGGCAATACGTCGGTAATTTTTTAGCCATCATCTTGTTTTACTAGCAGGATATGAGGTGCATATATTATACTATTATCGTTCGATATAATAAAACACTTATATTGGATTCATCTTCGCCCAATATAGAAAATATTGCAGTCTCGACTTGATATTTGCCATATTGGACTCAGAAGAATGCAATAATATTATACGCTCACATATGCCATTGACCAATCACGAGTCTTCAGTAAGTCACATGTATGCCCAATATTTTATGATGTAGGACGGGGCATATTGGGCAATATTAGAATGTTAGGGTTTGTAATCCAAGTGAGTATATATACATTTTACGACCTGACCAGGAACGACTGCGAAAAATGCAGCACAATGTCCTCTGGTATAGGAATTGAATCTACGGCCCTGCGATTCCGGTGCAGCGCTCTAACCAACTGAGCTACGGAGGCCAGCTGTTGAGCTGTAACCGCAAGTTCATGTATATATATATATATATATATAGGTAATCGGGTGTGCGGGTTGTGATAAGGTGGACTTCAGTGATTTGATTTCTTGCACTTTACTGACTTGGTGGAATTAATATTAGAATGTTAGGGTTTGTAATTGTAGGAAATGTTAGGGAAGTAATGTTAGGGTTGCAGCTCAACAGCTGGCCTCTGTAGCTCAGTTGTTTAGAGCGCTGCACCGGAATCACAGGGCCGTAAGTTCAATTCCTACCAGAGGACCTTGTGCTGCACTTTTTGCAGCCGTACGTTCCCGGTCAGGTCTTAGTCGTACGTTCCCGGTCAGGTCTATATGTATATATGTATATGTATATGTATATGTATATGTATATATATATATATATATATATATATATATATATATATATATATATATATATATATATATATATATATATATATATATATATATATATATATATATACTCACTTGGATTACAAACCCTAACATTCTAATATTAATTCCACCAAGTGAAGTGCAAGAAACCAAATCATTGAAGTCCACCTTATCACAACTCGCACACCCGATTACCTATATATACATGAACTTACGGTTACAGCTCAACAGCTGGCCTCTGTAGCTCAGTTGGGTAGAGCGCTGCACCGGAATCGCAGGGCCGCAGCCTAGACATAGGCCTTCTAGTCTTATTTATATTTTTTAGTATTCAGCGGTTTTTCACATGAAAAGACTGGGACTAGGTGATTTGGGGGCGGGGCGGAGGAAGCAAGCCTAGAAGGCCTAGTTGATTTCCCAACAACAAGGCCAAAACTGCCCTGAAACTGCCCTGGTTGCGAAATGCCCAATTATTGCGTTCTCAAACAGAATTATTTGCAACTTAACGGCGAATTTAAATCGATACAGGTAAAATAAACTCATTTATAGTATAAACTTACTATTTTTATTTGTATACACGTCTAGAAAATCGGTTTTTTATCATAAAGTTCGAAGCAACACTATTATTTAATATGTTGACAAGGTGTAGCGAAAGAACAAAATGAGTCAAAATATATACCAAAAGTAGAATCTTTCATGAAATTTTGTCTTATACACAAGTACATTAATATATATTTTCTCAATTTTGGCAAGAAGCAGAGTCTTGTGTTTGTAAAATATACAAAATAAAACGGATACATATATTATTAGCCCGTACAGTACTGTATATAAAAACGTACATTGTTTATACAAATGGCATATCTGTAATATTCGAAGAATCGTCAGCTAGTGGCATATTCGAAATCGTCACTACGAAATCGTCACTATCTGTAATATTATAGTTATTCAAAGCAAAACAGTAGATTGTCTTGCGAATAAAAGAATTATTATTTTGTGCCGTTTCGCTACACCTTGTCAACATATATAAATAGTGTTGTTTCAAACTTTATGATAAAAAACCCGATTTTCTAGACGTGTATACAAATAAAAATAGTAAGTTTATACTATAAATGAGTTTATTTTACCTGTATCGGTTTAAATTCGCTGTTAAGTTGCAAATAATTCTGTTTGAGAACGCAACAATTGGGCATTTCGCAATCAGGGCAGTTTCAGGGCAGTTTTGGCCTTGTTGTTGGGAAATCCACTAGGCCTTTTATTTTTTCGCTTGCGTCATCCTCCACCACGCCCCCAAATCACCTAGTCCCAGTCTTTTCATGTGAAAAAGCGCTGAATATTAAAAAAATATAAATAAAAATAGAAGGCCTAGGTCTAGGCTGGCAGGGCCGTAGGTTCAATTCCTACCAGAGGACCTTATGCTGCATTTTTTGCAGTCGTTCCTGGTCAGGTCTTAAAATGTATATATACTCACTTGGATTACAAACCCTAACGTTCTAATATTAATGCCATCAAGTGAAGTGCAAGAAACCAAATCATTGAAGTCCATATTGGGCAGTAGCATGTCGTGGCTTTTCCCTGGTTTATCAACCCTTTTCAAATGTTTTATCAGTTTTAAACACACAAAAACATTTTGGTAATATGTATGTGAAAAATCCATATTTGGGTAGCCATTGAGTTGATATGACAATTTCACAGTTGGCTGTTAGCCAATCAGAAACCAGGAATTTTTTAAATAAATAATATTAAATATTGAAGTCTCGACTTAGTATTTTGCCATATTGGGTTTAGCGAAATCCAATAAGTTATATTCTGCCAGTAGAGAGCCAACCAATTTGCAGAATAGTTTATATCCGGTAGTTATCTATATTATAATAGCGGATATTTTTGGGCTATATAGGTACATGGTGGAACAAGTTACGCAGAAATTGAAAAGAAAGTGGAAGACGCAGAGAAATTGGCTTTCTTCAATGAGAAGATAAATGTTGATACTATTTTATTCTTTGATGAGGCGAATACGACAGATGCAATTGATCTTATTAAAGAAATTATGGTTGACAGAAGAGTGAATGGACGAGCTATTAATCCTGAACTGACGAGACTGCATTTCATTGCTGCTTGTAATCCATACCGAAAGTAAGTTCAAATTGTTCGAACTAGTTAGATTACTTTGTAGTTTGACCCGATATTCATATATTTTTTAGCTGTGCTAAACGAACTTTTGTCATAAAATAATTGTTTTCTCTTTTTTACAATAAATATTGCAGCTGTTGAGCAAAAAGTTGTATAAAAAAGTGCATGTTATCAACTTTAAGGCTCTTTTCCACTCATCGCAAAAACCAACTCGCAAGTTCACTACCAACTCGCAAGCTCGCTGTGAGTACTTGCATCAAATTAAAATAAACTGTTTATAGAATTTTGATTGGATGAAAGTATTTGCAGCGAACTTGCGAGTGCACTCTTGCGATGAATGGAAAAAAAAGCATTTAAAAAACCAATTTCGCGTGACATACGTCATCCAGATGGCAGATACCAATATTTTTTTCTATAATATACCCTTTTATATAGCGCTTTTCAAATTTCAACAACACGCAATTCTGAAAGGTTTCTTGCATATCGAATGTGTATTTACCTGCATGGGTGATCATGCATGCTTCAACAACACTTTTAGTGACGCTTGTTTGAATTTCTTTGGAAAAGGATGCCTTGTATTTTTAAGGATGGAACAGTATAATTATTATACATCATGTTTCGCTCGCTATTCTGGTTTAAATAGATGATTACAAAGCCGAGTCGAATTGTAATCAAGACCCAACGTTTCGACTGGGCTTTGTAATCATTTATTTAAACCAGAGTGGCGAGCGAAACATGATTGATATACCTGGTTGCAGTGAACGAACAAACTTTATAAGTATAATTATAGTTTCGATTATTTGTTTTAGGCACACAAAAGAGATGATTAAAAAACTAGAATCTGCTGGTTTGGGGTATCATGTGTCGGCTGATGAAACTGAAGATAAGTTAGGTATGATGCTTCAATCATGGGTAAAAATATAGCATAATTCCTATAAGACATATAGGTTATAGCTTCATGGACAGTTGTTTTCCCATATAATGCTGGCTTCCCAATGATCAAAATTTCGGACAAACCAACGTTAAAATGCTGGATAACGGTGAATTTATAGCAATTTAAATACGAAGACTAAATCTCTGACTTCCCCTACATGAACAATGTGCTAAAAAATTATAAAGTTTGTTTACCGGAATTATGGTTTCTGTATAAATTGTGCAAGCAAAGCCTATTGTACGAGCCTGCATGCAGGGAGTTAAAGGACTCAGTAGATTACCTGATCCATAGCAAATAATTTATTTTGGCATCTACATTCGTTTTTTATCTAAATTTTCGCCATTCGTTAACTATATCCCCAGGAATATTACTGGGGTTAGTTGCACATAAATTTCCTTTCTGACTTTCAATGCACTAACAAAAACCTTTCACATGTAAAAGAAATTACAGTACCTTCAACCAAATTTAATTTTCCTGTCATGCTTTTCTTTACAGGGTCAATTCCGCTCCGACAACTTGTGTATCGCGTCCATCCTTTGCCAGAGAGTATGAGACCCCTAGTGTGGGACTTTGGCCAACTTACTGATCACACAGAAGAACTTTATACTGCACAAATTGTTCGAAGATTCATGGTATCACCAACTGCAGGTGTAAGTATTATGATAATTTACTATGGTCGTATATGGTGCTTTTCTATGGGTGACAAGTGCCCTCAATTAAAATGAATTGTCATTCACTCTGTTTTAAAGCAATTTGATCTAATTCTGACAAACGGACCACATGCACTGCTTTTTGCTTAAAATGTAATATTCAAGACAAGGATTCCCACTTATTTTACTTCGATCTAAACAAACAGATGGTGTAAATGACCTTAGTGCTTTATATACTGTACGTTTCGGTACCTCATGGTACTGTTTTATGTTTTTCTCTTAAAATTTACAAAACACGCGAACAAGCTACGATGAATTATGCAAACAACGGGAAAAGTAAAAAGATGGGATATATAAATGACTGCATGCATTTTCAATAGTCGAAGAGAAATTTTGAGTGTCAATTTTATAAAGATTTATAGATTTTTTAGACCTAACCACGAGCAATGCAATAGGCAGTTCCAGGTTTTAATTTATGCGCGCAGGGGGCGATGGGAAGTAAGGTATCATATTGCTGATTGTGCTGAAAATTTTCAATAAAAACTGCCGAAACAACCGAAATATTCCAATATTTACAAGTATAAGCTATCACTCCGTGTTTACACGGCCACCATTTTTATTTTTTCAGCATAATCAGCAATATGATACCTTACTTCCCATCACCCGCTGCACGCATAAACTAAAAGCTGGAATTGCCTATTAACTATAGGCCTTCTGGCAGGAATCAAACTGCGAGGAATGCAACTATATGCCCTCGAACCAGCAGCAGTCTAATAACTCTATTCAAGACTTGGTAACATGCGAATAAATGTAAATTATAGAAGTACATCAATGCAACAACCCCTCCCCTTTATTTTCTCAAATATTGATTGACCATTGCAACACGATCGCGTTTTTCTAATTTTTTTTTTGTGTGCTAAAACGCCAAAAAATGATTACTTAACTAAATCTAGAACTATATTATTAATAATTTCTATAATATTTAAACCAAGCATGTTATTTTGCGTTTGATAAGCTCCAGTTTATAATGTAAATTTCAACCTTGGATGCTTCATTCCACTGCTGATAATTATTTTGAGATCGCTTAGATGACCACCCACCACCGCACTTTTGAAACCGCTAGCAGCTTTCCGTTTTGCCGGGTGTAAATAGCCGAGCGCAATTAGTAACCTTGGCCTTGGGTTACGCCCGAAACGCCGTTGGCTCGGGGATTAAGTTTGTGTGTATATATAAACAACCGTATCAAACAATTTAGTAGGCAGCTTGGCAACCGGCGTATTTGCCAGTATTTGAAGTTTCAACAACTACGGCGTATTAGAATGCTGAAGGAAGTGCAATTTATGGTCGCCTTTGAAAATTCTATTGCTGATGATTACATCTTCATTGACGTTTACGTTGCATTTGCTAAACTCAAACGCAGTTAACAAATGAATGGTACCAAGGAAAATATATTGTTTACTTACTTCTTTTGATTTATTTAAAATTGTAAGATTTTTTTCTTACTTTTTACAGCTTGCTTCTGCCAGACCAGCCACAGTAGGTTTTGATGGTACTTTGTACAATGCTGCACAAGCATCTTGTATTGCCAAAGTGTTATCTGCTTCACAGAAATATATGCGCAAGCAAAAGGTAGAGAATGTTTCTTGTGCATGATTCACTCATTGATCGGGCTGCATGTGACATCAAGGGTGGAATATGTGAAATAATTACAGTAAGGTATATGAAACCAGCTGCGGATATGAAACCAGCTGCACATTTATTGCCATGTCGGTGGTATATCAACAAAAGAACCTCATTTTTCATTGAATTTGGCACCAACATGCATGGTTAAAATTTACTTATAGCTGCATCAGTTGCAACCAGTTGCAAAGGAAATAAAACGTTTTCGCCATGTTGGATGAAAATTGAATTGCAAACATGGAAAATCTTTTGCCAATTACATCGACGTGGCTATAATAACAACTGATAGTTTTATTATTAAAATAATAATAAAATAAGGAAAAAAATTAAGGCAAACATTAAGTGGATTGGAGGCATCGGAAAAGAAGAAAAATATTTTACAGCTCGCGGAAAATACAAGCCTGAAGAGAGGGGGAAATAAAGTACTTTTTTCCGGTCTAATATTGCAGGAAAAGTTAGAAGTTTGATTGCCAACTATATACAAGTATCCGGATTTTCCATGCATTCGTACAACTACATTTACGTTGAAACTGTTAACAAAATAGGCTGTATAAGTGTTCGTTGCACTCTTGATCTAATGGCCTCGTTTTGAGGTGGATATTTCCTCATGTCTCGTGCACGTTAGGTTTAAGGATAGGTTTCTGACTAGGTTCAACATCGAAGAGAAACTACTTTGTGCCCTAAACATGGCGATATATAAAACTTAATGGACACGTCTGTTGTGCAAGGAATTTATAAATTTTTAACAAAACGGGAAATAGAATTAACTGTATAATTGAACAGTACTTAATGCAAAAGTGAGTATTTTACCCAAATTTCCTTATAGGAATCAAAAGTATAAAATCACAGTTGCTTACTATTATTATATTTTTCCCGAGGACGAGCTATATATTAATATGTCAAACCTAGGTGGGGTTTTTTTAACTTTATAATTGTAATGCAAGTTTTTCTAAATTTTTAGTTCTTCATCATTTCACAGCTCTCAAACTCTAGTGTCATGCTTTCTTTTTCCAGATTGAATGCATGCAAATTTCCAGAATGAAAATTAAAAACGAATTGAAAAATCATTTCAGTTATTAAAATCATGTTTCATACGTTGTTACATGAAATTTTCAGATATTAATTATTTTTTCAGAATGAATGTAGCTTCGTCAGCTTACGTGATGTTGAAAGAGCAATGAAAGTTATCGTATGGTTTTATTCCAACTCCAAATTAATCGACCAGGTTATTGCAGATGAATATAACGTGAGAGATGAAGATAGCGAAAGTTCTGAAGAATCTAGTGAAGAAGAAAGTGACGAAAGTGACGATGACGAGCAAGTTGAACAAGTAAAGTTCTTAAAGTTTATTTTTCTTCTGCACGAAGATTTATTAACTACAAGGTGTATATCTAATGGAAAAGATCTAAACCTTTTCGTTTTGATTCTCGACAAAGTTTGCATGTGATGATAAACCATTAAAAAAAAACCAGGGATGAGGTGGTGTATAATTTATGTTATGAATAAGCAATAATTGTTAATTTTATTTTATAGCCTTTAAGTCAAATTGTCCGCGCGGTAATCCTTGGCATTGGTGTGTGTTATTACGCAAGATTAAATGAAAGAGAAGTATATTGTAGAGACGTTTGCAGATATTTTGATAATTCTTGTCCGTTGCCTGGAGGTGTACGTAGGATGCAAAATGAAATTAGAAGGTAAGTAATTACATTGGCGAGATTTTCTCTGATGGAAGGTTTAAGGTGTAACAATTTATAGGTGTGTAGATAACAGAACACCCTCTAGTGAACTTCAAATAAAACATGTGCGTGCGAAGTTTTAAAATAGCGTAAATATTGCACAAGTGCAATCACACGAGGAACAATGATAATATTTAGCAGTTTACAAGTTCACGTGTACATATAGTTCGAACTCAAAATTTTTTTCGACTTTTTATTCATTTTTGAAGTTCTTGCTACTTTGCTTGGGTGTTTTTTGACTCGACAATTTGTTTGAAAGTTTTAAAGAAATTCTAATTGCGTATAAGCGCTTTTACCTTTTTGCCAATGTCTAGTGAAGCGCTCCTGGATCTTAATACAAAATTTCCCTTTCAAAAGTTGTTAAACAGGGTGTCCCAGAAAATGCCCCCACTATGTTTTGTGGTATTTCAACGTCAGCTTTGAAAGAGGTTTTAGATTTTTATACTAGATAAAAGAATTATCCTATCGTTTTAATGCATTTATATTCGACTTATCAAAATAACCAACTATTTGCCTTCTAGGTTCACTTAGGGGGGCGACGCCAGTATTTCGGTTTGTTATTTTGATTCGTCAAATAGCAAATAAAACGATATGATAGTTATTTCATCCCGTACAAAAATCCGAAACTTCTGCTAAAGCTAACGTTGTAATACCATCAAATATAGTGTAAAGCATTTTTTTGGGACACCTAGCTGTATATCTCACACCATGCATGCATCCTCAGTGGCATCATGCATCTTTTTTGAAACACGGTAGGGAGAAGAATTTTTATCTTGTACAGATTGTTTTTGACGCTTAGTATATGGTAACTTACTTTGATAAACGACTGCCAACATTTCGCCTCAGATATTTGGCATGCATCGTAATGTGTCTACATCTGTAAATAATTACTGCAGTATATCAAAATCTCTCTTTAATCTGATGTGGTAAATTGTATGCAGAACATAAAAATAAAGACTGATAATGCTCGCATGTTGCCGATCTCGTTTGCTTCAACGAGTGCCGAAAATAAAAGTATGTACACTTTTTCTTTTAACTCGTTTTCAGATGTCAGCGTGGATTTTTAAAGGACATACAACTAGGTCAAAATATTGCTAGAAATACTGCTCTAAGTGAAAATGTCTTCATGATGGCAATCTGTACGGAGTTACGCATCCCGTTGTTTGTTGTTGGCAAACCAGGTAGTTCAAAGTCTTTGGCAAAAGATGTTATATCGACCAATATGAAAGCTGGTAACTCACAAGGTGAATTGTTCAAGAACTTAAAACAGGTACGTGATTGATGAACGTTATAAGTTAATACAAATCGATTCGCACTCGTACCATAAATGACACAACAACAAATGAAGAAGTAAGCTGTAGTTGAAGTTAGGAAGAACAAAATTTCAACGGCAATTTGTTTTATCTTTAAAACATATTTTTAAATTTATCTGTTGGTAAATGTTCGTGAATGTCTGAACACCTCACAAACCTGTATTTACGCATTTATTTTCTTGGTTTCTGAATTGAATTTTTGGTCCCATTTGAGCTGGGAGTAGTCGAAACTGGAACTAAAACTTTTGGTAGTAAACAATGTACATGTATCCCTGTTGAATGATCTGCAAATTCTTTATAATAAAACTGCAAAGTCTGTGTTGGATCTACCAATCGATGCTTCTATAGTAGCCAGGCTTTAACAATGTTGAAGTGGTATCCTTTGTCGTATAGATAGACAATTTCACAGATGTAGTTTTGTTTATAAAGCTTGAACAATAATGTTGACTTTAATATGGAAGAAACTAGAGGAAGTGATTTACACTGTCATGATACAAGAAATAAACAGTTAGTAAGGCTCCCGTCCCCTTTGTAGAATCAATTGGGGACAATAAACATCACACTATATGTTTTTTAATGAATGGAATTAATAATCTTCCGCTATTTGTTAAATATTCTAGTACCTTTTAGCTTTTAAAAACAACTATGTCTCAGTATGTTATGAATAACTTGTCATCTTAGTGTTTTAAGTGTGGACTTTATTGACCATTTAATTAACTTTTCGAACTTTCTTAGGATTTCTAATTAATTATTAATTTTTTCATAATCTTGTTGCATGCTGTATACTGTTTGGAGTAGATAGCAATAATTATAGTCCGCATTTTATGTAAATAATTATTTCCTTCTTATTTGGGGACCCTTATGAAAACCTTCTTTGATGATAAGGCTTCCTCAGAAATGATTGTTTTAATTAAATTAAATAAATAAATAAATAACTACACTATTCTTATTCAGTGATCGTACAGGAACGACACACTCTAACAACTATAAACATTGACACTGTTTTTCTAACAGCTTGTCATTCAGCCTTAAAGGTTTGAAAAATAACATACTGTAGGCTTACACAGGGAGCCGTACCAAAATTTGCCCGACATGGAGTTGCCCGACATTATCATGCGTTTATTAATAAATAAATAGATGGAACACATCTCCTATACAGATGCACGGAAATAAATTCAGTCTTAAAGCGATAAATAAAAAATATAATTACGAGTATTTCTGTGATTTCACTTTAATATACATCGGCGGACGGAGATAATACCCTGGGTACAATTTGAATTCAATATTTAATGAAACAAATTTCAATCTGTCATTCAGTCTCTCTGACCAAATATCTAAACAATAATGTCATGACAGAATACGTTATACTGAGGCCAGCGGGCTTTCTAAAGTAGAATCTGCCCAACTAAACATATGATTATGTAACATAAAATCCTGACAATGCAAAAAATTCCTTTTTCTTCAACCGCAAATTGTCGCCAATTGGGCCAAATTTTTCATCTGACAACCAGATATTTACCAAAGGTCTTAAAATTCTAAAGCCTTAAAATATCTCAGTGATCAAGTATTTCATTCTGCTTTCGCATAAAATTTGCCAATTGCAACATATTAAACAACCGGGGTTTTTTTTTGTGTTATCTATATACACAAAGGGCCTGATATTAAATTTGACGATCAGAGTTGATCACTGGTAGCCACTTAAGGTGGCTCCCTACAGTTTTAAAGTTGTAGCGCATAACTGTGCTTTAAGGTGGCTCCCTACAGTTATAGTTCAGTTTAAAACATTTATATAGATCAGACGTCATCCTCGCGACTCGCGCGTGGAATCTTCGTGGCCCGGTGAAAATCTTGAAACAAGCCGCGGGAAGTTATTTTAATTTGTACTTTTATCTACAAAGAAAACGCCAGTTTTTTATTATAATCCTAAACTTTTCAAAATTCGAATAGCACGTATGTTAACTAGTTTTTAACCTACCTTTCAGTGTGTTTTTATATATTTAACACGTTCACTACTGTATTTCATATATGCTCACAATGTTCAACAGTAGTGTCACAAACTGAAACTAACTGATATTTTATACTGTCTACAAGGCACTCCTGAATTCGAACCGTCACTGAAACTTACGTACTGTAAGTCCTGTCATTCAACTCAGTTCACATGTAGTTTTTTATCTGCTGAATCCAATAAAACTATAGTGCGGACAGTTACGAGTTGTTTTATAGGAAAAGTGATCAAACTCTACTTGAATGTTTTGAAAAGTTTTGACACCGATTTTCACAACAAAACTAAATTTAAGAATTAAGTTTGGATTAAGTCAATGCGTTATTGTGATACATATAAGCCAAAAACTCAAAGTGAAAATTACTAAAAAAAAAAACAACTATAAACCATACCCGTTTCGTGTTGCTCACGCATTATAATGTACACGCATGCGCAAATAGCAATCATGTCGAATCGATATTTTGTCACGTCAACTGCTTCCACGGACTTTAGGACTATTTTTCTCGCGTTTCCGTCGGTAAATTTTTTTTAAACTTTGCACATTTGCTAAGCATGACGATTAGTCAAACATATCAGTTTTTTTAGTCGTTATTCATGAATATCTCAAAACCTGCCTTATAAACATCCTTTCAAATTTTAATATGTCATTCTTTCAACCATAAATCTTTTAAAACAAAATTAGAAAAATTGACCGAAGGAAAAAAAGATATTTCCGTTCGATTGTAAAATTAGACACTAATAAAAGTGCAAAAGATGAAACGTCATGGTTGCCATGACAACACTAACACTGAATTAAATTGATTTAATAATTACTGACTTTGTAACCCAAAGGTTAAATTACACCAGTATTACATAATATTACATATTTAAGGGTATTTAAATTTCTAAAAACTTATTTATCTTTAAAATACTTTGAGGCAAAAACGAATTCTTAAAACGTTCAGTTCTACAAACATAATTATGATATTTACATATTGTTCTTAGATCGTATCTTCACATAAATATTGTTGGATATTAAAATGCCAGACTTTGCACGCGTACTGCAAAACAGGTCTAATTATAGTAGTATATACAATAATCAATGTGTCTATACACGCGTTGGACCTTTTCAGTGGCCTTAGCATATAGAGCCTCTTGCTAGCTTTTTTAACTATGTTGTGTATATGTTCATTCCACTTCATGTTGTCTTGAACTGTGAGGCCAAGGATACGAGCAGAATTCACACGTTCAATATTAACGTCATCCACTGTTAAAGGAGCGGAAAGCAATGCTTCTTTTTTGCAAAGTCAATGACCAACTCTTTGCATTATTATTCGTAGTCCAATTATCGATGTAATTAATCTTTTTTTTATTGATTTTAATAATCGTAATTTGCAGTTACAATAAAAACAACTGAATTATATACGATGTACAGTGATGAATAACCTAATAATATGTACATAACAAGTAACAAAAATTGGATTAGATATATGATTATAGTACAATTTAAAAAATTAAATTAATGTCGAAGACTGTTAGCGATTATGAATGAGTTCTTCTACCGATCAGTTCGAATTCGAGGTAGATGGAATTTACTACATCGTCTTAGGGAATACAAACAAACTTTTTTCTCCGGAACTAGTGAATGTAATTTATGATCTGTCATTTGGACCTCTTCAAAAAGTTTGAGGCAAGCAGCTGTTCTGCGATCAAACAATAAATCTAACTTCGAGGTTTTAATAGCGTCTTCATAAGAGATGTTCAGATATACTCTTCTCAGGAAACGCTTTTGTACCCTCTCAATCTCGTTGTTTAGATATTTTGGCAACGAGTTATGGAACACTGGTGACGCGTATTCCGGATACATGCGCAGTAAATTAATATAATATCTTCAATCGAGACCTTTGCTCGTTTAAGTTGAGTTATCAGATATAATCTCTTGGTGGCTTTAGAAACGATTCTCTCTACGTGTAGTCGCCATTTTAGATCACTGCTAATCGTAAGCCCAAGGATTTTAGCATGACTCACTATTTCAAGTTCTTTGCCGTTGACTAATATCGGGGCAAGCGTGTTACTGGTGTTACTATTCCTAGAAAAATCAATCCTAAGCTCTTTGCATTTGTCTTCATTTAGTTCGTCTAGGTTGGTTTCTGTCCAGTTTTGATTAACTCCCAACTGAATTACACTACGCTGACCTTGGTCGAGAGAATAAGACTTATGATCGACAGCATAAGACTTTTGAAGTTTCCTGGAAATGATTATATTGCCCTGTCTTAAGGTGGCTCCCTACAGTTAGTACAGTTTAAATACGATTTATATAGATCGGACTTCATCCTCGCGACGTGCGCGTGGAATCGTGTTTACTGTTCGGCAAAAATATTGAAACAAGCCGTGGGAAGTTTTTTGGCGTTTTTATCTACAAAGAAAGCCACAGTTTTTCATTATAATCCTAATTTTTTCTGAATTCGAACAGTACGTATGTTATTAACTAGTTTAACCTATCTTTTAGTGTGTTTTTACGTATTTACGTTCAGTATTGTCTTTCATATTGCTCAAAATTTTTAACTTGTTGTTTTGTGAGCTGTCAAATTGAAATGATACTGTCTTCTATTAACTCTTGAACAGTAGTGAACTGTTGCCGAAACTTATATAAGTTCTGTCAATCAATTCAATTCACAGGTATCGTTTTATCTTCTAAATCAAATAAAACAGTTATGAGTTGTTTTATATGAAAAGTTAAACTTGTAGTTCGATGTTTTGAAAAGTTTTCACACCGATTTTAACAACAAAAACAAATGTAAACTAACACTGGATTTAATACAATGCGTATAATAGTGTTTTTTTTATTAGTATTTTCAAGATTAATATTTTATTTTCATGTCAAACAAGTCAGAAATATCTGTTTTCTTATGTATTGTAAGCCAAAAAGTTGAAATCACTATAAATCACACACTACAATTTACACGCATGCGCAGA